TTTTTGCTTTTGCAACTTTCTTCTCGAAAAAAAACCCCACAAAAAAAAAACCGATTTGTAAGCTGAAATGAAAAAAAAAAAGCTGTGCTGCTGTTATCTGAGCAAATACGAAACAGTTTTGCTAAGATTAACTAAATTTAAAGCAGAAAAAAAAGAAAGAAAGAAAGAAAGGAAGAAAGAAGTGGAGGTTAAGTGTAAATTTTAACAGATAGAAAACGGTAACTTACCATTTTAAATTGGGTAACAAAAATTGAAATTTTTGATGACAACAGAAGAAAAAACATTTGTGAAATTATTTGTGAACGACCAAAAAAAAATTGTAATATTTGAAAGGGACGGGTGAAAAGACTGAAAACTGTGTTCAGCAAAAAAAAAAACAACAACAACAACAAGAAGAAATATTTCTTACCTGATTGTACTGATAATTGCTGTAAATTGACTTGTTTCTGTTGCTGTTGCTCCAACTCTAATGGCCTAAATTCAGCTGGATTCTGTGATATTGGTACAATAATTAGTTGACGTTCCGGTTGATCCGGTCGAGCTGTTGGTGCTGTACGTCGTGGATATTTGGTTGATTGTTGCGGTAATACAGTAACAGACTGTGGTGGTACTGCTGTTGTTGTTGTTGTCTGCTGTGTTGGTTTTTTACTTCCACTAATTTGAACATTTGGAACTGATTCAAGCTTAAAAAAAATAAAAAAAAAACAAATTTTATTCTTCAATTATAGCAAATACATTTATACAATCATTTTTCTTAACTAAAGATGGTGTTGACAATAATTTATAATACACAAAATTCAGTATAATCAAAGAATAGTAATCTTATTTTATTGTTTTATTATAATGACGCTAATAGTTTTGATTTTAAATCTTTTTGTTTTTCAGTTAGTATTAGAACATTTACTTCAAAATAGTGTTAATTTGTTATATTAACCCATTTAAATATGTCAATGGATAAAGTAAAAATACCTACTGCAAAATGTTGTTAAACAAATAGATTAATTGTTTTTGTCTCAAAGTTTTAATGGGTAATGATTAAGACGAATAATTTGCTTTAAATATGTAAAAAAAAAAAGTGAAAAGGACAGTTGAATATAAGTGAAAAAAAAAAATTGGCTATAATTTAACCTTATTGTAACGTATTGGTAGCAAATCTGAATCGTCGTTGTTATCAAAACTGGACGTTTTGTCATCAGAATGCTGTTGAAAATGTTGAATCCGATCGACGGTCGATGTAATTGTCAATGGTGATGGTGTAACACTGTAAACAACAGTACAACAGTAAAACATTTTCAAAAAAAAAAATGGCTTATTCTTATCCAAATATCCAATGATATATTTATTATAAATGTCAACAAAATTTTGTTTAAAAAAAAATTATTTTTGATTGCAACTAAAATTATTTAACCAATATTAATATTGAAAAAAAAAAAAGAAAATTTTCTTTTTGATTTGAAAAAATAAATTTAAAAAAAAAAAAAAGCAGATCAATTTTTCACCTAATAATTTCTGATGGTTTAATAGCGGTAACTGTTGTTTCAATATTTTTACTCTGATTTTTATTGGACTTTAAAAGCAGTTCAGCAATTTCTTTTTCGCTTAATTTACTGTTTCGTATCAGTTCAATCAATTTTGCAATCGACGAAGCTTCGTTGCCGTCGCCGTTGCCGTTGCCGTTGCCGTTGCCGTTGCCGTTGCCG